ATAAGTCAAAGGTCCTGTTCAACCATGGTTGGCTTCACTTGGCTTCTCGTTTTTTTCCTTCTCTTTTTTTTTTTCCCCCCCTCTTTTTTTTTTTTTCTCAAAGGGCTTTTTTTTTTTTTTTTTTTTTTTTTTTGCAGAGGACCATCTCTTTCCCTGTCTTCCTTAGTTAAGATATATGACATGAAAATGTTTGAAGCCCTGAACATTTTAAAACATAGTTTTTCCCATCCAGTGTCTGACAGTTTGGTTTTATATAAAATGTGCTTAAAAGGCATTGCTCAGTAGGCAATGGCTGCTCTGGTTGTTCTTAAGAAAATACAATGAAGTTCTGACCTGTGATCAGCTATTCTGCTCTCTTCCCTCGGGAGCATTTCAAGACCCTTTCATTCTTCTGAGCGTCCTACATTTTAAAACATAGTTTTTCCCATCCAGTGTCTGACAGTTTGGTTTTATATAAAATGTGCTTAAAAGGCATTGCTCAGTAGGCAATGGCTGCTCTGGTTGTTCTTAAGAAAATACAATGAAGTTCTGACCTGTGATCAGCTATTCTGCTCTCTTCCCTCGGGAGCATTTCAAGACCCTTTCATTCTTCTGAGCGTCCTGTTGCTGTGCCTGGCTGTGGTTCTCTTTCTACACACACGGTGCAGTCTACAGCTCCTGCCTCGGTGTCCTAGTGATGCTCCACAGTGATTTCTTTATCTCCCTTCCTCTCTCTCTCTCTCTCCTTTCTTCCTAGAACATCCCTCTTCACCCTTGGCTCTCCTGGAAGGGCTTCCAGGTCATTTGTTTCTTCTCTCCCAGTCTATTAGGGCTCTTCTCTTGAGCTATTTAGAGTCTCTACAAAAAAAAAAAAATCTCATCTATCTAAAAAACATAAACCTACCCATCATGGTTTTGGGAGAAGAGTGGGGAAAGAAGGATGCTGGTCCTCTCTCACTCCCTAGCTAGACCTTATATCACCACCATTGGCTTTTACCTGTCTCTGCTTTTTAAATGTAGCAGCTATACAATCTAGAATTGCATGTAAGGCTCACATTCGTGACTTACTTTATATTTATGACTTGGGCATTTACACAATTTCCTTTTTCTCTGGAATATACTTCTTCCTCAGTAGTGTCTGGGACCCCTATTCTTAGTACCACTAGGCTCACCTTCTACAGATAACCTCCTTCCTTTCTGCCGAAGTGGACGACAGACTGAGCGCAGCATGGTAACACTGAGCTGTCCCAAAACCCTGTGAGACCTGTGTCTTTCAGTGTTCACTGAGCACCTTCACCTCCCATTACAATATCCCTCTGTCAGACTGCTGTGATTCCCAAACACTCCAATCCATTCTCTGTAGTTCAAGTATCTTACAACTGTGATCTAAATTCAGAAAAACTCTTAACAATCTTAAATTTAAGAGGAAATTTTTTTAATATTTTATTTTTTTATTTTTTATGTGTATGAGTGTATTGCCTACATGTAGGTAAGTGCACCCATGTTGTGCAATGCCCACAGAGGACAGAAGAGGCCATCAGATCCCTTGAAACTGGAGTTACAGACAGTTGTTAGCTGCCATGTGGGTGCTGGGATTCAAACCCGGGTCTTCTGCAAGAACAACCAGTGTTCTTAACTGCTGAGCCATCTCTTCAGCCCATCTTGTTTATTTTTGCTTTCTCAGAATAGTACCTAGCACATAATAGGTAGTCATTCTCATTTCTGTGTGTGAGAGCCTGCATATGTGTGTGTGTGTCTGTGTCTCTGTGTGTATATGTATGTGTATGTGAGTCTATGTGCTGTGTATGTGAGTCTATGTGTGGGTCTGTGTGTGAGTGTGTGTATGTCTCTGTATATTTGTGTGTGTGTGTGTGTGTGTGTATGTGTATGTGGGGGGGTGTACATGCCTCTGTGTTGGTAAAGATCAGCCCCATGGGCTTGATCAGTCAAGCACTCTGCACTGTTACACTGCCATCCCAGTTCTCCTTCTTAATAAAATAACTACATGAAGCCAACAATATTAATACATAACAAAGGGAAAAAGCCAATTATTAAAAATAAAATATAAAGAAAGCTTGTCAAACACTATCTGAGAGCCAGTTCTTGTTCTGAGAATTTTAGCACTACATTTCCCATCAACTACGGGGAAGATTGGTGCACTCTATTATCTAAGAGAAAGATGGATGAACGTTTGTTTCCTGGGTCTATAGTCTCAGAGGAATTTGCCTTTCAAGAAAATCAGTGAGCAATGGGTGGTCCCCTACATAGCGATTGCATTTTAATTGCAAAGTTATTCACCGTGTGTATGTTTTTGATATTGACTCTCAGAAAACAGATGTAAAAGTTTAAGTGCCACTCCATAAAAACACTCTTACAGGGCCTAGATTGGGGAAGTAAATGTATTATTTTGCCTATATTGCCAGTGTAGAAATGAAAGCAAAACAAAAACATCCTTTTCCTAGCATGCTATGTAATTCCATACCTTGAGATCATTCGCATGGTAGAGCACTCAAAGCTGCCTGTATCACATTGGTATTGAAAAACACAAAAACAAAAGCCCCCAGCTGTTCACTTCATTTTCCCATGGACAGTGTCCTTCTTGTTGATTGACAGTGAGAAGGAAGCAAGCATCGGCACCCTGGCAGCCTTCTGCCAGTGGCTGCCGTTACAGGGCAGGCTGAGGGTGCTATGCTTTAGAACAGGCCAGAGGTAGAGGGCTGTATTAGTCAGGGTTCTCTAAAGAAACAGAACCGGTAGAATGAATATATATATATAGTCCGAGTAGTCCAACAATGGCTGCACCACACTGGAGAGGCTGAGAATCCATAGTCGCTCAGTCCACAAGGCTGGATGTCTCAGTAGTCCCAATCCAGTGCTGGAGGTCTGACAAATTCCAAAATATC